TATTAAAGTGCAATTCGAAAATGTTTTTTGAAATGAAGACTTAAAAAGCATTTTAAAAATCAGTTTATTAAATTGGAATTCAAAAATGAATTTACAAATGCAGATTTTATTCTACAATTCATTAATTAAGCACAGGATTTTTTATTTCGATGCACGTGGCTCTTGTGGTCCTCCATAATTTACTACTTTTTCACAAGAAGTGGATAAACTGGAAGACAGACAGCAGATTACAAAATCATCTCAACACTTAGCTCACAGTTGATACGATGGGATTGTTTGTAAATGGGTTATGTGCGTCTTTTGTGTTCTTGTATGCGTGAGTGTGTTTTCATTCTGGCGTATTGATGCGCTTTCATTCGGGACAAGCAACTAAAGAAGAGCATTCACAGGAAAATCAATTGGGACACTGTTTCAAAAGATTATCAATGATCCAGTTATCCCAGCGGTTGATGAGGCTCTGTCTCTCTTTATGTTCACGCCAGTGACGGCAAACACTTCAATCAGTTTGTTACCCCACTGTCCTCTAACTTTTGCCTTCAGTGTTTGCTCCCTCTTTAACTGATCCCAGATTTGAAGATTGCTCCCTGTTGGCTCACCTGCTTCTTTTCTGACTTCTTTTTGTTTCAGCATGGATGTGCAGGGAGACTACGACCCGTGTGATGCCTCTGGATTCATCAGGATTAATGCCGTCAGGTTAGCGTTCACCTTAAAACCAAAGAATGGCTGTTTATTAAAGCCAGCTCACACCTATGCTTCATCCTTCTTTATATATTTTTCTTCCACAGGTTAAGGGAACACCACCGCTTGCAGGGTTTGTCCAGCACCAAGCAGTAATTGGTGTCAGTTGTGGAAAAGCACCTTCTTTTCTTGTTTTCTCTCTCCATACACACACCAACAAATTTTAGTCTTTGTGCCTCTAGTATCCACCTTATGCCTTATTATGTAGTGTTGGTTGTATTAGCACAATAGAAAGCACATCATTTTCATAGTTGAAAGCAGACATTCACACGTAACAGCAGGATTGGCTCACTCCAAAATATGAACTGTGGATAAACTCTTGATATGTATTTCTTAGTATTTGGTTCCTATTTGGTTCTATTCTTGGCATCATTATTTTAATACCATGAACTGTTTGTATTCAAATAAAAAGGGGTGAAATTTCCTTTTTCTCTGTTTCTCTTCCACTTTTTGGTGTTTCTTTATAAAAAGCACAAGTCATTTGTCTTTGGCAGACTGTGTATTTGTTTTTTTGTTTTAATGCATGCCTGTTTAAGTCTTGGGGCCACACTCGGTGCGCCGAGGAAGCCGTGTCATATTTTACAATATGCAGATGTAGGGGGAGCGCTGCAGAAGTGAGCATAATGGTTCAGTGATAGACACTGAAGTGGAAGCAATGAGGTCATTTCTGAGCTCAAATGGCACAAGTCAGATGGAAGAAAAACCAATTGGACACGATACATATGTATATTCGCCAAGCATGGCGTCCCCACGCTTACAGGACATAGGACAGAGGCAGGAGGGGGTGTTGTAAGGTTCAGTTACAGCTTTTTTTTCTTTTCTTTTTTTTAAATTGGAAGGTGGTACATTGGTTAGCACTCTTGCCTAATAGAAAGAAGCTCCTGAGATCTAATCTGGGGCCTTTCTACGTGGAGTTTGCAGGTTCTCCTTGTGCATGTGTGGGTTCTCTGCAGCTAAACCAGCTTCCTCCCACAATCCACACAGACATGCATGTGGTTAGGTTAATTGGTGATTCTAAATTGACTGTAGGTGTGAATGGAAACGGTTGTCTGGCTCTGTGTGTTATCCCTGCGACAGATTGCCGACCTGTCCAGGGTGTACCCTGCCTCTCGCCATGTGACAGCTGGGACAGGCTCCCCTGCAACCCTCAACTGGATAAAAAGGAGAAAATGGATGAAAAATGGGTATGCTCTTTAAAGATCTGTGAATAGGTGAACGTGGTGTCGCTCAACGGGAAGACTTGAACGGGAATTAACAAGATTAGGCAAGAAAATCTATAAAATTAGCTTTAATGTGGAGATTAAGGCATTAGGGAACAAAACTACAACTGTACTGCTGAAAACACAGTAAAAAAACAGTAAAATATGTATGTATGCTAATGTGGCGGGTTATTGTTACAGCGGCCTTTCAGAATCAACTGAAATGTGGCAGCAGATACTAAGAGCTTAAGATGTTGATGTTGTATTGTGACAATATTTTGGAGGTGTAGTGCTAAATAGAAAGAGGGCGACAAATTAAAGGAAATACTGACTTGTTGACCTCATTCCTTTGCCCCCTCGCAGCCTGGATACTCTGAAGGAAAAGGTCCTCTACACTACATTTCATTAAACCAAGGTTCATGTTATACAATGACAAAGCAGTGAAGAGCATTTCTCTTCAGTTTAAACTTTCTCGTTGACTTTTTTAACCTGGATAAATGCAGCCTGTTCAAACACCATTGCTGGTATAAACCACTGGGGTCTAAACAGGCGCAAAACAAACACTGTCTAAGCCGTTTTAAGAGATGCACTACAGCCCTGAACATTTCTATTAATCACACAGCAGAGGTGCATGTGAGAATGCAAATGTTAGCTGGTCTTTAGCCTACCGGCTTCTCATTATAAAGTCTATGTCATGTGGGATTGCACTGATGTGTGAATGCATCTGAAATGGACCATTTGTGGTTCCTACATGTGGAACAGCTGTGGAAAACAAAACTGCAAAATTCATGTTAAAAACAAAACAAAAAACAGCTTAAAAGTCTTTGATGTGCAGTCCTTAAGCATATGCTTGCCCCCTAGATTGGCTTTGAAAACCCTTAAAGGAAGATGTTACTACACTGAGCGATGACCTCTGCCCTGTGAAGAATCATTTCTATTCTGATGGGAGTTGTCTCTTCCAGTATGATAATATCCCAATCCATAGAGCATCAGGCCTTCAAAGTAAACGCAGTGGACACACTGTGACTGGAAAGCACTCTCCCTCATGATAATAGAGGCTTCTCTTTCTCCGTTTTAGGTGTTTGCGATTTCCTTTTATGGTTAGATGTAAAAATAATACTATGCTGTAGCTGTTTCTCTTCTTCTTCCCGAGTTCCCACCACTGAGAGATGTCAGTCCCGTATCGAAGTGCTGGGTACGCTGTGGGCCTCATATTAGGGTCCACAGGCACAGGAGACCCCCCGCCAGGTCTAATGGGCAAAGAGGAATTCTCGGACCCTTTCAGTCCTGCAGCAGCCACTCAGCCACTGCACAATTACACGGCAGGCGTCTCAGTCTTTGCCTGGTCAATTACCAGCCAGTCCCTGCATTTACTGTTGTGCGCACACAGGTTGTAAGATAATCAGTGTCCAAAATTGCCCGGTTAGAATGAAGGGATGGGAGAGTTATTCAGATTAGTCAGTCAAGCTGAATGGGTGGCAGGAGGGATGGGGACAGCTATCAATCTCAATCTGGCTTCAGTGGTTGGAGAGGGGGAGGATTGTGGTGACCTTTCTGTTTTGTTTCTAGAAAGATATGATCCTGTGGAATTTTTTTACTGATATAATAGCTTGCATGCATTTCTTTTCAGAATTACAAGGTTGCATATTGAAGTTTTACTTAACTGCTCTAATCAACAACTCTGCACGTGTGTGTGTGTGTGTCTACTTACTTACCGTATCACATGTCATATCCCATCCGCCACCCCCTCCCTTCTACCTGCCTGCCCGGCCAAGCAGGTATGAAAACTGTCCCACACCTGACCAAGGGAATTAATCATCCTTGACCCTGGACCAATTACCCCTCATTACCCACTATGTCTTCCTCTCAGGGGAGAGTTGTGTGACTATAGAGTGACATGAAAGTCAGCGGTAGCACAGGACCGATGGACACTCCTAATGGACACTTCTGTGCGACTGTGTCTTCTCAGGAGGCCAGGTTGACTAGCCTTCCACTCCCTGTCACTCTTCCGCAGCACATGTACAAAGGAGGCTATTGTCCTGGATCACAGTCCGTGACCTCTTGAGCTAAAGTGCAGAGGGCCGCCGGCAACAAAAGCTGGAAAAGAAATACTCAAAGGTGGTGATGATAAGAAGGTTTAGTTTAACTTTATTTAACCATTTGGTACAGCTTTCTAAGATGACAGCACTTTTAAATGGATTCTAAGTTACCAATAATTTATAGACCAGTTATGCAAAATACTAAAATCTCTTTGGATGAAAGTCCAAACTTCGCTTCCATCTAGTATTAATTCAGCTGCAAATGTTTGTAATTTACAGTGATTAAGTGCAAAAGAAGGGATGGATGGTGTTGCTAATGCACGATCTCTCCAGAGTGTACCCTACCTCTCGCCCTATGACAGCTGGGATAGGCTCCAGGCCCCCTGTGCATGCCTGATTGGACGTGCAGTTAAGAAGAATGGATGTATGTATGTTTGTTACCTGCTTCAAACCACTGCTTTAGCAAACTGTTCTCAGGACTTAATATTTCCCCATCGCTATCTCTAAGCTGTCATGTTGCAGTTTGCTTCTTGAATTTGCAGGAAGCTAAGTTAATCGTCAGGTTTTTACCCATCTATTGTGATATTAATTTGTTGAGGAATTAACAGAACAAAGCGCACAAGAATGTCTGCTGTCTCCCCCCCCTTTAATCTGCGCTCCTCGTCTGCCTGTCAGTTTGGAGAGGGAGCGATCCTTTTTTTCACTGACCTGTCCGCTTCAGCACAGTAAGACAGGAACAATGACCAAAGACCGTTAATTACCACCAATTACAGGCCAAAGTAGCTCTTGTTCACTATGGTTTGTGTGTAACCCAAGCCCAGGAAGCCGCATGACGGCTGTCCCGCTGTGTCTGTTCCTTCACCTGCCTCCAGAGCACCACATACACGCGCTGTTCTTACCACCATCACGTCATATTTTATACCTACCTGGATTAATAAACACCCGCTTGTATCTGAATAAACTGGCAGCTGCTTTTTGTGCTGTACCATTTCACTTAATACTGCTTTACTTAGCAGGTAAAGGGTTAATGGACTGGTCCCCTGAGGTCAGTGTAGAAAGCTTATGGGCTTGGCAAAGATGGTGAGGTCATTCCCAGCTAAGAAACAATAAGTGATTTGCAGCACACAGTAAACATTCTGCTGGGCTACTATGAATACATTATTTATATTAATATTTTCTGTGTTCACTGGAAGATCCAAATTGAACAGGACAGTATTAATAGCACATATATGAGGATAACTGCATCATTGTTTTCTATACGGATGTGAAGTATCTGTTTTAACCACGGGCCATTAAATTGAATACTTTGAATAAACTGAGATGGGAGTGAAAGTTTCTGACACCTGTTGTATTAATTATCTGAATAATTCTGTGGGTACTGGGTATAAGTGCCACTTATGCAGGCTAGTCTGAAAGCACTGATGTGTTTTTATGGGTCAGATGTGCGCTTCATTCATACTCCTGAAACTTGATCTCCTGCTGCAACATCAAGGAGACCATCTGTGAGGAACCATCAAAATAAAACCTTCCAGGCTAGCTAACATCCACGGTTCCT